ACGAGTTGTGGTGTGGTGCTAAGACTGCCAGAAAACGTCTTGAAATGTACCACGCCCACGGTCCGACTCTGGAAATGAGCATACATACTATGGACTCCGGACAAGATGTGTTCCTCTACGTCTTCCCACTAATATGACCAAGTTACGAAAATAAATTCAAACAAAAAATAGTTAAAACTCAATTTATTACACTCGTTCTTCATGTTCAGATGTTGGCTGCTTTAATAATTTGTATAGATAAAACGTTTGTGCATCTTAAGAGACTCCTAGTAGGGAAAATTACTTAAGCTAATAAATAGAATAAAGACAATACTAAATTTACTATAGAGTTTAAAAAAAAGAACAAATTGCCTTTTCTGGATGTAATAGTGAGCAAAGAATGTAATGAGTTGGTTAGGTTGGGTATAGGAAGCCCACATGAGGGTTCCTAATTAATTACTTATTCAAACATACATATACAGTGAAAGTATGAGTTATTATTATAAGGAGTCTGCGTCCAGCAGACATAAACCAGGACCAGGATATCGGTAGATTGAGGCATATATTGTTTCAAACAATTACTTATTAAGATTAATAGATAATTATACTTCAGTAATTAGTAACAGAATGAGGAGAGATTGATATTTAGGGCGGGATAGACAGATATACCATTCGAATCTGTTACTGATTTTGCATTCCTGCCAGCTCGTGAAAAAGTTAGGTGACCTACTGAGGAAGTGAAGCATCATAACAATGTAAAAGGAGGAATTAACACAGAAGCCCTGAGATGAAATTCAATGCTAAATATATTTTAAAGGTTGTTCATAACGGATTGACTGCAAGGATTCAATAAAAAACGTGATACTTAGTTCAGAGGAAAATGCAGTAAACTCCAGATAATACGATCGCAATTTCTTTGATTTATAAGGCCTTTAAAGTTAAGCATACTACTCTTAGCTTGCATGAATATTGATTACTATAGTTTAGATAGAATGGTTAACTTAATAAATTGATTTGTACTGAAATAGCCCAATTTTTGTTTGCTGCCAAAAAATCGGTTCTCAAACAGGATGGGCTGCACCTTCAGCTTCGTATGGGTTCAATCAACATTACAATAATCAGATGGCATTGAAATATGTGGTAAAAAATCGTAAGCAGATCAGCTATCAGCCGATTAACCAATGCTCCATATTAATACATAGGATCAAGTTTCGTGTTAGCCTTGAAATCGCTATTGATTCACAACAGCATTATGATTCAAGTAACACACATCCAGTCGAATTTTCGATGTACTACTCTAGGAGACACAAATTAGCAGGCCTATCATGCAACTAGATAGCGCAAAGGGCTCGTTTGCAAGTGACAACAAGCACATCCCTCAACCTCAATTTTTCAGTGAAGATGTGAAGACCAAGATGTTGTGGCACACATTTCGATGATTGAAATGAGAAGTTGTGATAGGACGGCAGTGGGATAAGAGGGTAAAGAGTAG